TTATGCTTTACAATAGGTGAGAACACATCATTAAAGTTGACACCTTCTTTCTGAGTGAACCCCACAACAACTAACCTTGCCTTACATCACTTCAACATAACTCCTTCGATTCATTCCTTAAACTTAAAGATCCACTTACAACTGAATAACTTGGCCCCTGTGAGCTTCTCGATCAGATCCTAAGTGTTATTATTATGAATATATTTAATCTCATCATCCATGGGTTTCATTCATTCAGTCTTATTTCGACTCCTTATAGCTTCTTTATAGTCTTTAGATTCTTTATCAAGAACCTCACTTGTAGAGATTAAGGAGAATGTCATGAGATCTACATAACCAAGTCTCTGAGGTGGATTTATGACTCTTTTCGACTGTCTTTTGCCAGCAGGTAGTCATTTTCAATCTTCTCATATTCATCAGCAAATTGTGCTTCTTCTTTGACTTCATCTGAGTTATGCAATTCAACATCACTATGCTCCACCTCAACAAGAATCTTTTTCTGTTCCAGCTCCTCTCCAGAGATCTTCGTACTTCATCTAACATCATCAGTTTTCTTTAAAGCCATCTCAACTTTATTGAAAACTACATATTGACTTGTGATACACTTTCTATGATCTGGCTCTCGGCACCACAACCTATAGGCTATGACTCCTTCAGGATATCCAAGAAACATGCATTAGGAATTGCCAAAATAGCTATAGGTAAAATTTTGACTTATCTAATCGATTAGAACTTTTGTCTAATCGATTAGCTCAATTCAAGTTTTAGTCCTAAGTGATTAGGACAACGTCTTAATGATGTGCAACGACTAGATATATTTTTCTTCCTTTTTATACATATAATCAATTGTAAACATATGTCAATCAATTAGATTGTTATTACATTTATTCGAAATTCCTTTTTGAGATAACCTATAACCTATAAATAAAGGTCCCTTCCTCCATTTCGTTTAATCCATAAACGTTTTTTTGGCACACCTCTCTCTCTCTCTCAAGTTTTATTTCACTTTCTCTCACTAACATTTTAGCCATAGTGCCTTTATGAGAAAAGTTCTTTTGTGAGCGAGGATATTCAATAATTTTATAAGGGCAGAATTATAAATTCACCAAGGGAATCTTTTGTAGATACCTTGGTTGAATATCATCCATTTAGGGATTTATTTGAGTTAGAAGCTAAACCTGTTAAAAATTTTGGTTTGGGGTTGTGTAATTTAGTGTCCATTTAGGTTCGAAAGTTTATCCCGTATAAAAGTTTTCATCTGGTTCTGGGTTAGCCCGTTATAAAACCAAGATTAAGTTCATGCTCATCACAGTTATAAAAGTTTGGTAGGTTCAAGATTAGCCCGATATTAAATTTTCAAACGTTATTTGTTATCCCGTGTAAAACCAAGATTTTAATGTTTGTGAGATCAACACGTATAAAAGCTTGCAAGGTTTAGGAACTTGAAGACTAACCGCTCCAAGGTCCTCGTTTGCGCAGAGAAGACTAACCGCTTCAATCTATTGTATGAAGAAAGGAGTAATCGCCTTGATTCACCAATTGGAAGAGAAGATTCAAACTGCTATATTATAAAGTTTTGTATTATTTGATTGGAGGTCAAACATCATTTCCTTGTATAAGGGGGTTCGTGAGTCTTTCCTATTAAAAGCTCTCAATGTTTATTGGATACTCTCAAGATCAATTCTTGGGGAGAGGAGTATGTCACTTTTTTGTTTGACTGAACATCTATACATTGTTGTGTTCATCTTTTTCCCTTAACTCTTTATTTTTTACAAAAAATTTTGTTGCTAATTATTTAAAATGTTTTAAAATTCTGATTTTACTTCCCATAGTTTTTTAAATCACTTTTTTTTAACCACACAATTCACCTCACTCTTGTGTGTGAAGTCTCGAGTACGGCAAATAATTCCTATAATTGTTACATCTATTCAAAATTAAAATTAATAAAATCTTATCTAAAATCCACAATATCTCAATAAAGATTAAATGAATTGACTTTATTATCGATTAAAAAAATATTAAACACAATCGATTATAATAATTTATTAAATGATTTTGCATCTCAAAAAACACGAGAAAAAAATTTAATAATATTTTTTTCTTAGTTTTTTTAATTAATTTTAAAAAGACCTCATTCTTAGAGTTCGCTATAGGTCTCAATAATAGTTGAGACGACTCTACTTTATATTAAGTAGTATTTCATGTAGTGTTTTAAAAATCATATCAGACTAGACGGTTGAACTTGGAAATTGAGTGGTCGTCAGTTTAGTTTGATTACTAGATCGGGTAAGCTACTGAACCAATTGAATCATCTAGATCTGACAAAAATTGATAAAAACACACAAATTGACGTTTTTAGAAAATTGACGAATTAAATGCTTGCTTTTTTTCCTCGGACATAACGAAGTCATTTTGATAATTAAAAAAATTTAAAATGTAAGTAAACTCTGTTCAAAACATTTTTAGAACAACTTACACTTCTTGGAATTAAATTTATTAGACAATGCAATTATTTTGTTATTTTGTTTATGTTGCGATTAAACGTTGTTCAAAATTTATTTGGAGTTGTATTGTGTACTATTTTGTTGTGTTTGATGATTATGTTTAAAATTTAAATTTAAAAAATGAACTTGTGAAATTATAATATTTTGAAATTTTGTAAGTGTCGTAATTTTTTAAAGAAGTACAAAGTCATCTGATTTTTTAACAACTATATAATTTTATTATAGAAACTAGTTTATTCAACTGAATTATTCGGTTTAATCATATCATTTGATCAGTAATTCAATAGTCCGACTAATGAATCAATGATTCAATTTCCTCGTCAGTTTGATGACCGATTTAATTTAAAAATCTATATATATATATATATATATATATATATATATATATATATATATATATATATATATATATATATATATATATATATATATATTATTGATAATTAAGTTAGATACATTTTTATTTATAATTTAAATTAGAAGTAATATAATTTTATAAAACATTATATCCATTGTTTTAAAAATCAAGTCAAATCAACCAATTTAATTGTTAGAAGAAAAAAAAAAGTCAACCAATTTAAACTTTTTGAATTTGGAATCCGACAGCTAGTTCGTCGGTTAGTTCAACCCTGCATTTCTGTTTACATTTGGTTGCATCAATTGAATCGAATTAAACTAATACTATTGGTTAAGCTAGCTTTTTAAAAATATGTTGTTAGTTAAAATATAATTGAATTGATTAAATAATAGGTTTCACAGTTGGACTGTTGGAGTATTTATACTTTAAAACCATGATTATATTGATCAGTATGTACGAATGACATTAAATACAACTTATCTCACCATTTCTATATAACCCAAAAACTTAAGTATAATATAGAACCACCAATTACTTTTGTCAAAAAATTATAATTTACTAGTTTTTGTTTGGAATTCCAACATGATGATTACATCCCCTGTAGTCAAAGTTTCCTTTTCAAAGGTAACTATGGACCCAATATTTTTTAATCCGAGTTTATGTAAGACATTCATATTACATACTGCATTAGTTGGTGGACAGCATAAAATCTAGCATTTTCTTAAAATGTTCAAAGTGTGGTAGACCCGATCTCTATTAGTAGTGTCTGGACTTGCTAAAGCCAAAGTATATTGAATGTAATATCACTAATGTAAAATCAGTAAAGCTTTGTAAATGATTTGATTTTTTTCTCTTTATTGATTTACTTATACACAGTCCTTTTACGAGTAATGTTTGCTTAATCATCCTACATATGTATGCACTCTTCTAAACATTACTCAAAGCTTGAGAAAAAAATTAGTTTGAGTTGATTACGATTTTAGAATTGAAAATAATCTTGAAAGGAATGTATGAAAATGAAAGAAGCAAAGATCAAGAATAAACTTAAAACTAGGTAACATTGTAAAAACAATGATAAAATGTTGTCAAATAAAAAGAATTATAAGAAAAAAAATATAATCGGAATAATATTTTTTTGTCAAAGATAAAATAAATATCTATAATTAATTATGAAATTTAAAATGTAAAAAAAATTGAATTTTTATATGTTCCGTTTCATAGTCTGGGTTCTTGAATAAACCAAATTCAATCCAGATTCAGTGGAGTTTACATCGACTAATAGTCTATTTAGAATAACAAGATCAAACTTAAATAACTAATGAGTTAGGCAAATTATGTGGACTAAAGTTTCAGCACATGGTGATATTTTATTAAGATATAATATAAAAAACATTTATAAAGAATTGACGATATTAACAATTAAACATAATTCTCAATCATTATTAAAAGAATATACAAATCACCTTAATTCATTTTATTAGAGATAGGTATAGATCAGACCTTTAGGGATATATGATCCAGCCTACTTAAAGTTCTATGTAGTAAACAAAAGGAAATAGTAAAACACATGCAGATAAATGATTGCGGTGGGAGCTGGTTTTCTGTGTGGCTCAGAGTTTGATTTTTTTTCCTGTTATGAGTAGTCTGTAGTTATTTTATTTGTCATTCTGGTTTCCTTTTGTTGATATAGAAGCAGCTTTTAACTATCATTTTGGTTTACTTTTGCTGGTACAGTATTTTTAGTATTTATTATTATTATTTATTTATTTATTTATTTTGTATATTTCTAGTTCCATTTTGTTGTTATTGGGAAGTTTTTGGTTTTTATAGCATAGATGTTATTTTTAATTTATTCATCATATCAAGGCACAACAGTCAAAAGTCGCAACAATGGTCGCCACGCGTCCCATTAGAACTGATTCCAAAGAATCCCTTGTCGGTTACCTTCGCAGCCGGTAGATTTACTGGACACGTATCAGTAAAATTATCTAATTCTTTATAGCCGCATTTATACTACACCATCTTCACACGACCCAAAAAAGCAACACTTTCCACCTGCAAAAACCCACCATAATTTCCGCTTCAATTTCATCTGAAATTCTACGACTCTTTCATCTTTTTTTTTTTTTTTCTTTCTGATGCTTCTTAAATCACTCCGCTCCTCCCTTGCCTTCAGAAACGACACAAAAACCAAAACCTCCTTTCTAACAATCCTCCAATCATTTTTCTCAGTCCAAAATCCTCGAGCATGGATTCTCCTCACCGTCCTCTTCATTCAGATCCTCTTATTCTTCAACCTCCGTAGATTCCCAATCTCGGTTCCTCCTCCCCACCATCACTTCCCCACTCGCCTCACTCTCACCCAAACCGCCGCCATTCAAAACGCCACTGTATTGGATTCTTCTCCCACTATCAACAACGACCAATGTAACTCCGGTAGGGTTTTCGTCTACGATCTTCCGAAATTCTTTAACCAAGAAATCCTCGATAATTGTGACAATCTCAATCCATGGAGTTCCCGCTGTGATGCTCTCTCCAACGATGGATTCGGACAGAGCGCAATCGGACTTGCCGGAATTATCCCGGAGAGTCTCCTTCCGTCGTGGTACTGGACTGACCAATTCGCCTCAGAAGTTATCTTCCACAACCGTATATTAAACCACAAGTGCAGAACCATGGAGCCAGAATCCGCTGCGGCGTTCTACATTCCATTCTACGCTGGACTCGCGGTAGGGAAGTACTTATGGGTGAATTCTTCCACCGCGAAGGATCGCGATCGTCACTGCGAGATGATGCTGACGTGGCTTCAGGAGCAAACGCCTTACAAAAAATCTAAAGGCTGGGATCACTTCATCACGATGGGGCGCATCACATGGGATTTTCGTCGCTCCAAAGACGAAGATTGGGGTTCTAGTTGCATCTACAAGCCAGGGTTAAGAAACATCACGCGCCTTCTGATAGAACGAAACCCGTGGGACTATTTTGACATCGGTGTTCCCTATCCTACCGGATTCCACCCTGATTCCTATTCCGACGTCATTCGCTGGCAGAGTTTCGTCCGTGGACGCCGACGAAACTCGCTATTCTGCTTTGCCGGCGCGCCTCGTCGAACTTTCCGCAACGATTTCAGGGCAATTCTGTTGAATCAATGCCGTGAATCTGGTGGATCGTGTCGCACCGTGGACTGCGGCGGGGCACGGTGCTTCAACGGAACATCAGCAATCACAGAAACCTTTCTAGACTCCGATTTTTGTTTGCAACCGAGAGGGGATAGTTTCACTCGCCGGTCCATTTTCGATTGTATGGTAGCCGGTTCGATACCGGTTTTTTTCTGGCAGAGATCCGCTTATTTACAGTATCAATGGTTTTTACCGGATGAACCGGGGAGTTACTCGGTTTATATAGACCGGGAAGCAGTAAAAAACGGTACTTCTGTTAAAGCAGTGCTTGAGAGTTACACAAAAGAAGAGGTAAGAAATATGAGGGAGAAAGTAATTGAGTACATTCCAAGGATGGTTTATGCAAAACATAGCAAAGGGATAGAGGGTGTTAAGGATGCATTTGATTTTGCCATGGAAGGGGTGTTAACAAGGTTCAAGGAACAACTACAACCTGGGTTTCATAAGTGGAAATAAGAATGAGGTAAATTTTGCATTACATGTTGGTAGATTTAGATAGAAAAATAAAAATAAATAATAAACAAATAATGAGACAACGTAGTTGTTTCAAACATAAATTTGGTAGGTTAGAGTTTTTGTCCTTTGCTTGTATGCATTTATTTATTTGTTTATTTATATAGGATGTACCATATTGATATTTATTTTGCGATTATTTTTCCAAGGATGGATTATACATTTACGGATATTCATGTATATTGTATAATATGTGAGCTGTTTAGTTGAATCTTGTTCGAGGCATGCATTTTGAACAAATGAGGCTAATCATTTACATACATGCATACCTTGAAAGTATTTTGTTGCGGTGTCATTTGTGAGATAATTTTTTTTTGAAGTATTTAAAACTGTATTTTTATATGATTTCTTATATAAAAAATATTTATTACTATTATAATCATAGTTGTTAATAGTATAATTCAATCAAAAAATTGAACCAACTCAAAACGAATCTAAGTAGAAAATGATTATTTGAATCGAACCTCATTCAAATAGTACTAAATTATTTTTTCTACAAAGACAAACTTAACTCATCATTAATCATCAAATGGTGTTCGAGACAAAAGGAGGAATCCAATGGAAAATAGTACGTTCAGTTCAAGAATTTATCCTTTTCGCTAACAAATAGGTAACCAAATTTACTTGGTGTTTTATAAACTTAACCTTAAAGTTAGGATAAAATTGTAACAAAATCTATAAAGATATAATAATTAAACTAAACTCGGAGCTACCCCAATGCTTGGCCCGAAGAGCTTGAACCACCCATTGAGATTTACTTTCGAATATGACATTTTGCAGGTTCAAAGATATAGCTTCCTGAATTAATTCTTTAAGGGAAATGGCTTCTGCTTTTATAATAGAATGAGTACCAACATCCCAAGCTATATCTGCAAATATAAATCTACCAAGGTTATCTTACTCACACCAACCCCTGTTAGTGGCACCTCTTTGATTATTGAAACCTGTGTCAACATTGCATTTGAGACACCCTACATTATGCGCACTCCACTTCGTGAGATGATGATTCAAATTCTCACTCTCTTATTCCTGTTAAGTTGAGAACCAGTCCTTCTGATTACCAAGAGCAACCATTCTGAGTTTTGTTGTCTCCTCATGCTTATTATTTCATAATTTATCATTTATGTTTCTCCATGTCACATATATCATAACTGCAAATTTACCCACAACCTTCCTATCCTCCCTATTACAAATATCATAGATAATAGACTTATCATCATTAGAAGAAGATAGTCGATGATCTATAATTTGGACAAACATGTTGCCCTCCAATACTGGTTTGTTGCACTACAACCAAATAATACATGTCAGTCATCTTCATTATTATTATCACAAAGTTGACAACCTGACGGCCATTGAACATGAAGTTGTTTGAGTTTGGATCGAGTCGGTACGCAGCCCCTACAACCAATACCCCGATCTCAACTGTAAATCCCATTTTGTTTGTCTTTCCAAATCATCTTATCTTCAACCATTTCCTCCACTAATGGAACCTTAGATATATTTTCAGCAGCTGCATTATCAAAAAGCTCCCTCATCACCCTTACATCCCATTGTTTTATATTAGGCAACATGAGATGTTTAACAGTAATATCATACATACCTTGTCTTTGAGGTCTCACCGCATAGTCGTCTCCTTTCCCTCGAAGCTAAGGTTTGTTCATAGCTGTTATGTTACTTCCATCCCATATGCTCCATCTCCAGCCAATCGTTAAAACATTCCTGGCTTGTCATATACTCCTCCAAATAAGGCTTAAATTATTATCAATGTTAGCTTCGAAGAAAGAGAATATAGGGAAATACCTTGCTTTGAAGATTCTGGACACTAGAGTTTGCGGTTTTGTCACTGGATGCCAACCCTTTTTAGCCACCATAGTTATTCTTGCTAAATCACTAAAAGGTTGACTTCCTCGTTATACCTCGAGGAGAGTCTTAGATGACTGGTTAAGGTGTTTGTTTTGTGTATGATTATTGTGTATCGGTTCTCCCCCTTATTTTTCAAGCACTCATTATTTATAGGTCCTTCTTTGCTAATTCATCTTCTTGTAACATTCGCCGCTTTCCATAATTATATATTAACCCTCATCTTTTCAATGATTGTAACTCTCCAGTCATAATGGTTTTTTAATAATCGTCGCTTGTGTCCTTCGGTGTGGCATCTGAGCCTTATCATCGCCCTGTCTTGTATGGCCAAGATAATTCTCGATTTATGTAAGGTCGGCTCATCCTTGTTTTGTTCAGTTATTCTTAACCAAGATCCAAATTATAAGTAGGCATATGACCTTTCAATTAGTCATTCTCATAATGCTCAGCGTTACCGGGTTCGTATCTCAGCTGGTCAACAAAATTTCTAGGATGTACATAAGCCCCAGAGCACTAGATTCATCTAAATCGTAGTGTTCGGACAAATAATCCCGAAATTTTCTTCTCATGGATCGGGGTCGCGTCAGCCTTTTAATTATGATAAACTCTCTCTCTCTCTCTCTCTCTCTCTCTCTCTCCCTCTCTCTCTCTCTCTCTCTCTCTCTCTCTCTCTCTCTCTCTCTCTCTCTCTCTCTCTCTCTCTCTCTCTCTCTCTCTCTCTCTCTCTCTCTCTCTCTCTCTCTCTTCTATCTTTCATGATGGCCTTTATGGGATCTCTCACTTTCATCATTACCCCACACTATAAATTCTTCTAGCCGTTACTCTTTATTTATAAAAAGGCCCAATTTTTGTGATTAAGATTTTTTCAAGCGTTCCTCTTCTCAAGCGCTTCAATTGATCCTTATCCCTCCCTTTTGGATTCAAGGTACCATTTCTTTTCTGCTTTATTATTGTTATGTCTTCATGTTCATTTTCCTTTTAGGAATACATTTTGGAATGTCTATATGCGAGATTTTAAGGGTTATTTAAATAGAGAGGACTTTGACCGAATTCTTTGGGAAGTTTATGGTGAAACTCCTTCTCCTAATAGTAATGTTGATATGAGATCTCTCTCCTCGGGTTCTTCAAATACCCAGATGGAAGCAAGGGGATCTTTGATAGATAAAGAAGTTTTGAGTTATGACCGTAGTATTATCGACAAAAGCTACATCTCTAAGCTTCGTTCTGCTACTATAATTTTATCCACGGGAAATGAAGAGGATGTTGTACTAGAGCCTTTTGTAACAGGTGGGAGGGTTTGTATTGCCCGCCCTAAAGGAGTATTGGAAGAGCATTGTTACTCGGGGGTTATTAAAGATTTTAGAATCTAAATTCCTTTTTCTGATTTTGAGGCGGATCTCCTCAAAACTTTAAACATAGCTCCCTCTCAGCTACGCCCTAACGGCTGGGGTTTATCAAGGCATTTGAGATTGTTTATGATGCTGTGAGTATAGTGTCGACCTTAGGTTTATTCTTTTTGTTCTTTGAGTTAAAAGGGTGCAGAAAAAGTTTCTTACAGGCATATACCACTAACTATAAGGGTTTTAAGGATAAATTCTTCTGAGTTAAAAATGGGAAAAGATGTCCCCAAGTTATGTACGACCTGGATGAGAGTCATCGTTTCCGAATTTATTTTCCAGACAACCCTTTAACTATCTCGGGTTTTGATTATGATAAACTTAACGATCTGGAACTTCGATCCTTAGTCGTGTTGGATGCTTTTCGAGTAGTGAAAATAAAAGATCTTTTAAAGAAGGCCAATGATCCTAAGCAGGTCTTTAAGTTTTTAGGTAATGTATGTTAGAACAATATTTGTTCATGACATATATCCTTCGAGTTTTTATGATAACAAATTATTGAAAGAACAATGGTGTTATATAATTTGTGTTCTAAGTGTGTATGTTCTAAAGCTTAAAGAAGAATATATTCATAATCTGATATAAGGACACACTTGAGAGAAGCTAAGTTATTGGCTTCTGGTGGCTCAGAATCTGAAGAACGACCTTTAAGTGAAGACTGATAATATAGGTTTGCGTAGACTCTGAAGCTGAAGGCCTTAACATCAAAAGAGTAATATATTATCTTTAAGCTTATTGAATGTATCATCTTCTAGTGATCATTCAAAACCAACGATAAAGATAAAGTTATTCGTACTGCAGAAAGCAAGCTACATTGTCAAATATGCTGTCAGCTAAAGTCTGTGTTCACAAGGCTCAAGAAGAGTTGACATGCTTTACGAATATCTACTCTCAACATATCTATAGTACAAGATCACAAGAAAGACACAATGGTTAAACAAGTTACACAATGGATTAAGATCTTTTGGTTATCTATCTTCAACGTCTCTTGTATTATAGAGTAAAAAAGACACTTGTACAAGTTATCTCTTCCAACGACTATTCCTCTGAAATTGCTATTTAAGTAGTTGAAGATTCAAAATGGATTTTCAACATGGAACAAAAATAAAAAAGAAGAAGAGCCCAGAAGGATAAAAGTGTTCCTCACTTCTATAAGAGTGGAAGACTAATAAGATCAACAATACCTACACAATCAAGTATGCAAAAATTTTGTTATATGTTGTAAATTGTATAAAGCCTTAAGATTTCTTAAACATTGAATATCTTAGAAATATTAAGTGTTATGATCTTTTTTATGGTTATTTCCATGTACCTTTGATTATGTATCCAGTACTCCTTGTTCTTTACTATGATAAACAAGTTGTTTAGTAGTTTAGATAAAGTCTCTTGCTATGTGCTTGAGCATCAAAGTCTCTTGTTGTGAAGCTTGAGCCAAGCAAGTCTCATACTATGTGCTAGAGAATTGAAGTCTTAATTAGTTGTTGATTAAGCAAGAATGTCTTGGATTACAGGTCTGAGCAGAAATATTGGATTCTTAGAATCTGAGCAGGGAAGTCTTGTACCTGAAGGGTATGAGCAGAAGTCTTGAATCTGTGGAATTTGAGCAGAAGTCTTGGATTAGTGGAATCTAAGCAGGGAAGTCTTGGACCGAGGGTATGAACAGAAGTCTTGAGCCTGAGAGGC